GCTCCATTTTCCGCAACAATTTACACTCCGAAAAATGCTTCATTCACCAAACTCCTCGAATCCTCTGCACAGAACCTAAGGTATTTGGTGCCTTCAGCGCCAAAACCTGAGTTTATATTCACACCCTTAACTGATTCCCATGTCCAATTGGCAGTGACATGCTCAAAGAAACTTGGTATTCATCTGAGAGTTCGAAGTGGTGGCCATGACTATGAAGGACTCTCATATGTTTCCGAAGTTGAGTCTCCTTTCATAATTGTTGATTTGTCCAAACTTCGTGGTGTTGAAGTTGATATAGAAGACAACAGTGCTTGGATTCAAGCTGGTGCCACTATTGGGGAGGTCTACTACAGAATATATGAGAAAAGTAAAATTCATGGTTTCCCTGCAGGCCTTTGCACAAGCTTAGGTGTTGGAGGGCACATCACAGGAGGTGCATATGGATCCATGATGAGAAAGTATGGCCTAGGAGCTGACAATGTCCTAGATGCAAGACTAGTTGATGCCAATGGTAAAATCCTTGATAGGGAAGCCATGGGGGAAGATCTATTTTGGGCCATAAGAGGAGGTGGAGGAGCAAGCTTTGGTATCCTTCTTTGGTGGAAGATAAAGCTTGTTCCTGTGCCAGAAACTGTGACAGTTTTCACAGTTACAAGGAGCCTAGAGCAAGATGCAACCAAGATTGTTCATAGATGGCAGGAAGTGGCACCCTATATTGATAATGATCTCTTCATCAGAGTCATCATTCAACCAGCTAGTGTTGGAAACAAAAGTGAAAGAACCATCACAACATCTTACAATGCTCAATTCCTTGGTGGGGCTGATAGGCTCCTCCAAGTGATGAAGGAAAGCTTTCCTGAATTGGGTTTGACTAGAAAAGATTGCCTTGAAACTAGTTGGATCAAATCAGTGCTCTATATTGCTGGTTATCCAAGTGACACTCCCCCTGAAATTCTACTTGAAGGAAAATCCACTTTCAAGAACTACTTCAAGGCCAAGTCAGATTTTGTGAGAGAACCAATACCAGAAAGTGGACTTCAGGGATTGTGGCAAAGGTTGCTTGAAGAAGATAGTCCCTTGATGATTTGGAATCCTTATGGAGGAATGATGAGCAAGTTTTCAGAATCTAATATTCCCTTCCCTCATAGGAATGGAACACTCTACAAAATTCAGTACTTGTCTCTTTGGCAAGATGGGGACAAGAATGCCTCAAAGCATGTAGATTGGATTAGGAAGCTTTACAACTACATGACTCCTTATGTGTCCAAGTTCCCAAGAGAAGCATATGTGAACTACAGAGATCTTGATTTGGGAATCAACAAGAAGAACAGCACAAGTTACATACAAGCAAGTGCTTGGGGCAATATGTATTTCAAGGATAATTTCAATAGGTTGGTGAAGATAAAGACGAAAGTGGATCCTGATAATGTGTTTAGGCATGAGCAGAGTATCCCACCACTTCCAGTTTCAAGTATGAGTCTAAAAGACAAGAAATGCAAGACCTGGGAATGAGGCAGCACAGTGTCGATGGTGTCATTTGGCTGGTTTCTTTAAATTTATCATGGAGTTGATTAGCTGATTTAGATGAATAAAGGGTACATTTGGATTTTGTTATGTTTTTGGTCATTTTAATGTTGTAAACACTGTTGAAGTGCTTAATCATTGCTATCTTTGTGGTTGTGTATGTGACAAGATTTCAGGTGACAAGTGTTGTTTCGCTTGCAAGAGCTGTGTAACTAGTAACGATAGGACTCTTAAATACAATACGGTGTGACAGATGGAATGCACATTTTAAGTGCAATGAAACTTGTTCCTATTATTTTTAGGTGATTTTGCATAACTTATTATGAATTGTGTCCCATTTTGTCCTTGAATAAATTTCAGAATGGGAGATGTTATTTCTTCTATCTTCCAAATTTTAATTTTAATTTTAATTTATTTTCTTATATCTTTGTTTTTCTATTTTCTAGTTAATAAAAAGTTAAAAGAGGGTTAGAGTTTTATTAGACCAAAACAATTAAACAACAACCCAAAAGAAAGTCTTGAAGAGTCTTGAGTTTGTAACATAAAAAAAAAAAAAATAAATAAAAATAAAAATAAAAAGAGGATCAGAAGAATATATAAGAGGCTTTTTGCCCCATTCTTTAATTTAGAGTGTTGTCATGACTTATGCATGTGATTTTCTTTTATCCCTCGCTAAAAGTCCTACAGACACAAAAAGAAAGATTAAGGTGAAATTGAAACCTCACATTTTTTCAAACGTCAATGAAGTTCTATCTTCTTTTTTTTATCTTTTGTGATCCTTTAGTTTTCTACATTGTTTATATTATTTTTCCTTAATGTTTCTTAAGATTTAATTATCCTTAGGAAGATTCTTGATCTATTCGATAGGTCAGTACAAATTTTCTTTACAGGTGTGTTTATTGTTCAGTGATACAAATCTAGTAATGTTTTATGATAGAAATAGTCATTAGATTCACATTAAGGATTTCAATTCAAAATACTTATTTCCATTTAATTTCACGAAATTAAGGTTATTAATTAAGGTTGAAGGTTTAATCGTTTTATAAAATTAAGATTTATATAAATTATAAAATACAGTAAACAAAATAAGAAATCAAATCGAGTTAAAAATCAAAATTAGAAATTAAAAGTGAAATAGAATAAACATTAATCCCAACAATTTTTCCAATTTCATTAAGCATAATCAAAATCTCAAAAAAAAATCTATCATGTTTTTCTTTAAATCATAATCATTTGTTTTTCTCTAAATCAGTCATAAATTATTCTTTATTAGATGATTAGAGAGGATCTCCTAAATGACAATAATTTGACAGAAGATGATCCAATCAACTAATTTAGTCAATAACAAATATATGAAATGGACCAAATTCTTAAAAAGAAAAGTATAAAATAAATAGCATATAGACGAATGTATATGAAGAATTTGTAGAACAGTTGTTTAAGAGAAAATATCGAACAAAAATATATATCATTATCTAATGTAGACTCATACTTTAATGATATAAATTAACTATTTCTTATGATCCCCACTACCATGTCACACAATTGTCTCTTTTCTCTTAGGGCCGGCGTGGCTAAGGTAAGGCAATTGCTTTAGGCCCAATTTTTTTAAAATAAATTAAAATAATTAAATATAATTTAAATAATTAAGTAATAGATTTTATATTATTATTATTATCATTATTAATATATTAATATGAAAGATCATATAATTATTTAATATATATACACTTAAATATGATTATAGAATTATTAATTTGAAATTTTTTATTATAATTTAATAAGCTATATTACATTTGTTTTGAATTTTAATTAAAAAAATGATATTGAAATTAATATATAATTTAATAAGCTATATTACATATTTAAGTCTTTTATATAAAAATAAAATTTGAAAAATAATTAATCACAAGTATTTTGATTTTTGACTCATATAATAATGTTTATTCTATATAATTAAATTTTACAATAAATAAATACTTTTGAATATATAAATTATATTGTAACTAAAATTTGTGATAAATAAATGCTTTTGAGCATATAAATTATATTTTTGGTTTATAATAAATAATTTATATTTTTATATAAGGTTATTTTTAAATACTGGTAATTTTTTGAAAAAATAAAATAAAATTCAATTTACAAATAAAGATAAAGATGAATCGAAAGAGATAAGAGCTTATAAAAATCACCAAGAAACTCTCGTCAAAGAAAATTATTTCAAATTGCCCCGGTTAAAAAAATTAAAAATATTCTTGTTTAAGATAATTATTTTGAAAATTCAAAGGTGCTTTATAAAAATTCTAAAGTTCAAAAATAATCATTTTAATTTATATAGAGAAGATATGAATATTTCTAAAAATATAAAAATAAATCTTTTATCATAATAAATGTGTATTTGTAATCATTTAATTATGGAAAAACAATTAATTATTGTGTTAAAATTTTATAAAACCAATGAATAAAGATATTATTTTTCATAAGAATTAAAAATAAAAATACGATTAAAATTGATATCTTTATAGTAGTTGCAAAAGCATTATTTCTAAAAGTTAATAATAATTTCTTGGACAATTACAACGCGTTTATAAGTGATGATTTAGCGTGAATGGAAGAGATGATTTGCAAATAATTGAAAATTTCTGAGTTGTTTGAAAGCAGCAATTTGTGAGAATTATAAAATAAATAGAAATAAGTCGCACTAAAATAATTATCTACTAAAATGAAGTATATTACTTGAAATTTCATAAATTTTCATTCGTCCGATATTCGTTCATTTACTCATATCTTTGAGTGTGTTTGGATTACCGTTGAATTTGAAAAAAAAATCAATTGAACATGAAAGTTACAATTAATAACTTTTTCATTTAGTGTTTAAAAATGTGTGAAATCTCACTTGTCTCGTTTGTAAGCAAGTTTCCAAACATGCACTTCATCTCGTTAGACAACAAAACTTAACATAATCAATTATGTTATAATTATAATAATATATAATTAATTGCTATAATCAATTTATGTATTTTCATGTTCAAATAATTTAACCAATTATATATTATTATAATCATTTAACATAATCAATTATATGTATATATATATATATATAAACAATTGTATATACAATTTATATTTATTTATTTATTAAAATAAATAATTTGAAATAAAAATATTACAATAAAACATTTATTATTTATTATTTAAAACTAAATAATATTCCTATATATATGTATATGTTTGCAATAATAATATATTTTAATTTCAAAAATACTATTTAAAATTATAATTTCTGCTTATTCCTATTTTCATCCTACCGAACTATAATTTTCACTTAATCTCCGTTTAAATCATTCCTCGCCTATTACCGCTCATTCATTCCCTTCAAAATTTTCCCGTCCCCCAAACATAAAAAAAGGTTAACTTACCTTAACCCATCGCAATAACGACAATAGTGGAGTAAAGTACTTAAGTTACAGCATAAGGGACGTGCAAAAGGTGAGCTTTCCATCATAAATCAATCTGATACAAGAAATCAATTTTTACAGAATGTGTAATTATAGAACTTTGGCATCACAAAATTGACAAACGATGGCACGCTAACACCCCAGAAAACATCATTGATTGTGGGGGGAACAAATAATAAATTAGATAAATAAATAAAGACAGGAATTCCTGAATTTGCTATTATTTTAACCAACGAACATATGCTACCCTTGACAAGAATTTACAAACTTTTGTCATCCATTTTTGTTGGAGGAAGTGTTCCAAAAACCTTATCCCATAGTGATGAAGTGATCCCAAAGCCTTTATCCTGGACCCGAAAGTGATGGTTCAAGTGGTACTTCTGCAGAAAAATGAGAAAAAGGTTATTGAAAGTTGCCTTTAGCTTACAAGATGGGCATGATTTCTAGTATATGATACCTTCACAGGAAAGGTGCAACCATAAAAGAAGGGATAGGAGAAAATGAACATTTGGCAGGAGAAATTCTAGCAAGTTGCAACAAACTATTAGTGTAAAATTATGTGACAAATTAAATAACGTGGGTCCCACCATGCCCTACTTCCTATTCAACGAGTCTTGATTTGAATTTTCAAGAATGTGTTGGAAACTGTGTACAGTAAATATGTTCCTTGCATTCCTCTGTTCGGCAGAGTCTTGCAATTAAATCTGCTCTGTACAAGTGACTTTGCATTTCCTTGAAAGTATGACAAAATTATGTTTCAGATATAGAAAGATACAAACATCTTCTATACAGGATATGTTCGCCCCAAAACACAAAATGGAAGATTGCAAAATCTACAAAAATTAAACTCTTGCTCCTATGAAAAGTAGGACCGAGGACCCAAATCCCTTGACAATACACATTAACCGTATCTCCCAAATAACTATGTTCTTTTTCAGCGATTTATACTAGAACAAGCTGATTTTGTTTAGCAACATATATCGAAGCAATGCAAATGGTCATTTAATCGTCACACAGTTGAAGATAAGTGTTTCTACCTTGAGATTTCGGGGCACTTCAGTCTTTGGCTGACCATGGTGCAAGTAATAGTGGGTGCAATCATAAATTACATAACCCAATAACCCACCTCCAAACAAAGCAGGCGCAGTTGAAGGGGTTGATATAAGCTTCACCAAGTTCCAGAACTGGACACAGCAGACAAAAACACTAACATCACTTCATGAAACCTTAAACCATGTCTGAAGAAATTATCTCTAAATCTTACCAACATCGGCATATATGTATGTTGCATACTAATCAAATAATTTTATCAATTGTCAAGTTTTACGGTCATTTTCAAAAGTAAGCTACAATTTGTGATATACATGGATGGAGCCACTGTTGTGACTTCAGCAAAGCAACAATTTCTTTAAGATTTTCTAAAACAACTATCAAGAAATTGAGGGTATAAACATGGCAGCACTTTAAAAGATCCCTTCAAACATAAAAACTAAATATATTTCAAGCTTAATGAAAACTTAAAATTCTATCTGCTACACTTGTACTTCACTATCGTATCTAAAATAGTTTATATATAACTTTTACTAACTATTACACCACTCAATATTCTTTAATTAAATGTAAATTTTTCAAAACTTACCGTTAGATTGAAAATTTCTTACTCTTAGATTATATATACAAAAATTTATATTAATTCAAAATAATTTGATACCTCATTCTTATAGAACAAAATTGACATAATATATTTATTTAAAAATATACTAAAATATGATTACCTTCAAATTGTTATTTAATTTTAACAAAATTTTATATAATATACAAGGTAATATGAAATTATAATTCAATGTTGGATCGACAAAATTTACATTTAATATAAAATTATTAAATGGTGATATAGTTAGTAAAAGTTAAACCGATATCATTTGAACCTTCCTCATACATATAGATAGATAGATATAAAGTTCATCAAAAACCAATGCATCAATAACCTTGTTGACCAGTTGTTACAAGAAAATTTCAATGTGACACTTCACTTTTTAAAAAAGTAATTTGGTGAATATTTGTTGTAAGGTAAGCGTGTCATGACTCAGGTGAGAGGATCAAATTTCACCTACAAAATTCAAATGGATAACTAAATTAAAAATAATAAAAACAATCTTGACCGAGTAATTTGGTGAATATTTGTTTTAAGGTAAGCGTGTCATAACTCAGGTGAGAGGAGCAAATTTCACTCGCAAACTTCAAATGGATGACTAGATTAAAATAATAAAAATAAGCTTGACCATACATATGTAGTTGTATGGTCGAAATTAACCTCTCACACTTTACAATCCCACTAGAAATGTTACCTTGTTATAAGAACAAAATTGTATTGTAATGGTAACATGGGGAAAGAGAGGTTCCAAAGTGAACAAATTGAAAAAAATCAATGACTTGCATAAGTGGATGTAACAATATAAGGACAAAAACTTCAATTAAGCCAAAACACTATTTAGATAGTAGAGGGAAAAAGGAAAAAAGAATGAAGTTACTCCTTTGATCTTTCCGGTATAGGATGCACGCATGGTAAAAACTTAGATGAAAATTTAAATTCCAATTCTCTTCTCAGTCAATAGAGTATGGAAAAATGCAGTATATAGAATGAGGGGAAAGAGATACCGGCATCAATAGTATAGCTGTTGCAGCAGGGGGAAAAACGAGTCTCAAGCCATCCATGGGGTGCTTATGGTGGCAGCCATGGAGAAGATAATGCAAGGTATTTCCCCTAAAGCAGCATTCAATCCCCAAAAATAAGGAAATAAAAGTTGTGTTATTCAAACCAATAAGTTAACAAAAGTAGATATAGTTAAACACAATTACACACGAAAATTAACATATGGTTTCACACTGCAGAATGGAAAGGGAAGGAGAGGGATCTAACCAGTAGGTCTTTGTTTTAATGTGGAAAAGAAATCGGTGCAATGAGTATTCAATCAATGTCCAAACAAAAATGCCAAGAACCACCATTAGAGCTAAATGAGGACAACTGAGGCCCATTCGTACAGAGTTATATATACACCAACATACAACTGGCAGCCAAATGACTGGTATTGCCCACCAGACTGTGCGGGTTAGGAACTGTTCAAAGTAGTAACAAGTCAACAACACAAGAAATTTTTTCAATGTATTATTAGAACTTAAATTTAAATCATCATCTGTTTGTAATGTGGTTAATATTAAAAGAATTAAACGTAGGATCATAATCATAAAATTTGTTGCTTATCACCAACAGAAAGCTACGAAACCAGCAATGTTCTATGCTAGTAAATGTTACACTTAAAAGCATCAACAAGGGGAAAACATAACTCTAGCAGTGATGGAATGCTGAGCAATGTTGTAAAATAAGCATTATAGTGCCGCCATAACACTATAAAGTGGCGTTTTTCAACCCCTCCACCATAGGCAATTTGTGAAGGGAGGCCCACTATGGCGGCACAATAGGCTACAATGGCACGTTTACATGGTAGAATTTTGACCTTCCACCATATTCCACCATTGATAACCTTGAGAATGGCCAGGAGAAAATAGGATAAGAACCTATTCAAGACAAGAGATGACTGAAAGTTGCCTGATAAAGATTAATCGTTAATCAAGTGAGAAGAAAACCATCAGAAAATTCATGAAAAAAGTAGAACAAGTGGAAGATGGTCAAAATAAAAAGGCAGAAGAGCTTAAAGAAACCATTGAAGAAAACCTTGCTCTAGATGGTTTTTAAAAAGACGTGGTCTTAGATTAAGCCAATGGCATTAATTATTCCAAATAGCCAATCCATCTTGGTGAGCCCAGGCTTGGTTGTTGCAGTTTTATCCGCAGTTAAAGCACATACCTCCAGAACATCATTTTCAAAGTAACGGGGGCCTTCCTTGCTAACAATGGGCTGGTGAATCCACTCTTCATAAGCTTCTTCAAGATGTCCAACCTTTAAAACATTGAGAATTCGATCAGACTCAATAAGAGATTGCTTGGTATACAAAGTCCAAAGTGCCCATTTTTTAACTCAATTTAAGTTCATACATAAACAGAAACAGGACCTATTTGAAAATTCAAAGTACAAGAAGACAGAGCATGAAATACATGTTTGAAAGAAAATCTCAAGCAGTTTTGCCTTTACCTGGAAAACAAGGGCCTTATTCAAATCAACTACAAAGTTCTGCTTCTGCACAACCATCTTGGGACTGAATTCAAAGACAAGAAAAAAATGTTAACACTTAACAGGAAGTAAGTTTAATGATAAAAACAACAATGTTGTGAAACTAAAAGCATACTTATATGCATCACTCGTCACATGCAATATGCATTAGGAAACAGTCACAAATATTGTTTTATTTTGCCTTCCTGACGGCATTGATTTTAACCTTTCTTGTAGGGAA